AATGCCAGACAGGCTCTACTATTCCTGTCATTCCTATCAAAAGCCGTATATGTGGAAACGCTGAAGTGGAAGGGAACTGCATGGAAAGCAGCCCTTTTAAGAAGCTGAGGTTTTGTAAGTACAGAAGCTGAGATGGGGTTGTAACAAAGGCTCTGTGTTGAGCTGTTGCACATCAGAGCCAAAAAAACCCTAAGGGGCACATCTCTAGTACCATGTCTAGAAGATTATGCATGCAACTCGGGTTGCCAGTAATGAGTTGTGTGGCTAATCTGTCATGCACAGCACTGCACAGCTCCCCTTCCCCCAAGAGACTGAGCTCAGGGCACTTTGCTTCCCCCCAGGGTGCTGAGCACCGTTAGTGGGACAGGAAAACCGTGTTCCACCTGGCTGCCCAGCCAGAAAACAGAAAGAAAAATTATCCTTAACAACAACTCCAGCCCCCAGAGACAGGACTGTTAGACCCCAAGGGGGTTTACTTATCTACACTCATACGCCACAAATTAAAAAGAGGCATTAGAAATAGCCCTGATGGAGCACAGAAAAGCCTGTCCCTTGTTTTATTTTCTCACTGATTTAACGATCCAAGTGTTTTCAATTTACAGCTCAAATGCTTATTTACTAAAAATTTGCCAGCATGGCAGAGCCCTCTTGAAATATGAAAACTCAAGTCATGTTCCAGCCCTGAGACCGTCACACACACACATTCTGTCACGCATCAGCTTTTGCTGTAATTGGAGCAGGGTCTAGGCTGCCGGGCTGTAGCTGCACTAGATCTGTGAGGCTAATGTGATTACCTGTTTGTTAAAAAAAAAAAGAAAAAAAAAAAGAAAAAAAGGAATCTTTACCCAAATACCCATGTAGCAAAAGAGTAGAAAAAAGCTTTTAAAAATAGCTGGTTTATCTCAGCCTTCAGAAGTCTGAATTTCCCAGGGTGTTCCTCAGCTGAATTTTATTGTGAGTCTGTGAAGGTGAATTATTAAATCAAATGTTAAAATTTATATTAATATATGTATTAAAATAATTATAATAGCAGTGATATTCCCATGGAATGATAGGGCTTCAGTAATGGAGACCTTAAGAAAAAAAATGTAACTACTGAGAGTTTTAGCATTAAAATCCGTAGACTTAGCCACGTTCCTATAAATTCGCAGTGGCTCAGTCCGCGTGTTCACGGCCGAGTTGGGTACAGGCTGTTCCACATGTGGGGTCGGCCAGGCAACGAGCCTGCCTTGCTCTTCACTGCATACCCAGCCTTGCTTTCATTCAGTCCCAGAAGCCGGAGCCTGGCTCTCCAACACAAGGCTGGGAAGTGCCGTCAGGTTCAATTTCCCAGCTGCTGCCTAAGACAGGAGCAGATTTTTTCCCAAGCCTGCAGCATAATAAGGGGGTTTGGTTATTTTTGTGCCAGTGTTGCAATACTCAGAGATTGGGCTCCCACTAGACTGGGTGTTGCACATATTTTAAGAGAACAATCCATGCCCCTAGCAACATACATTTTTCCTACATGGGTGGACAGATGCAGCAAACAACAAGGAGAGCAAAAGGTGGCAGTGAGCACAAAACCATAACATGATGGAGGAGGAGGGGGACAGAGCTGTACAAGGCTTTGCAGGTGGAGAGGGTTGTCTAGAATGGAAGAGAATCAAATTGTCTTGAATAGAGGGAAGGTGAACAGTGGACCAGATGCTGTGAAAGAATGGGATAGACATCAAGGGAAAATAAACTCTAAGGCAGGAGTCTCAGGTTTGACTGAAAATAGCAGCTCCTTCCTTACAAGTTGAGAATATCAGTAAAAAGATGCCAATTAGTAGAATGTCAGGAAGGATGGGGCAGTGTGTTTGGAGAATGATGTATTTTGTGTCTTTCCCTCACAATGACATGTTTTGATAGCTGTTTTAAAACAAACCCTGAGTGTTTTCAACAATGGAGGGGACCCTCTCTTCTTTTTTTGGAAAGGGTGATAGAAGAAGGGGATGGAATGTGTGATGTATATTGATAATGGCTCACAGGGAAGAGTCATCTAAGACCCAAAAGACTGGCTACACCAGAAATATTTTTATCAATGGGTTATTTGAATATTTACATTTTCAAGGAGGAATCTTCTGTTTGTTCTGCACACCAGGGACTTCTTGGCCAGTCTAAACAGTAAAGGTTTCTAATGTAAATAATTGCTTTGCTGCCTTCTGTCATGCATGGGGAGTAGGGGTGGGAAGTCCCTCAAAGAAGAGGAGGGAGAAGGTGCTTTGAAGAAGAAAAGACAAACCTCAAACGTGACAGTGAAAGCGTGCACTTGAGCTTTTTCCTTTTGTCACCCTCCCTGTTACCAAAAATTAGTCTTATGTATACCTGTGCACATCCTAGGGTGGGATGCTGGGATTTTAGCATTTTATGTCAGTTCATTAGTTTTAGTAAACTATGTATAATAGCCGAAGAGGGAGGAAAAGGCTGACTCAGATCATCTGTCCCTGGCATTATGCAGCAGGTACCTGCCTAGTTCCCACCTGGCAGTAGTTGATAGCTTCCGTGCTGATGGGGGGGCTGCTCCTGCTTTTCCTCTTTTTTCCTTTTTTTTTTTTTTTTAAGCAACTTATGGAAACCAAGTGTGGTTTGAATACACAAACTTTTTAATGTCGGCCTTCAGGTTCATGTACATAAGGCTTTGTGACTCTGATGTCTTGTCACATGATCATTGTTGCAGGGCTAGTAACATTGTAAAAGTTCTGATTCAGAAATTGTACCTATAGGGCATCCAATGAAATTACATTGAGATGACTGTTCTCACTGTAAATAAGGAGCTTATTTTGCGAGGAGCTGGGACCTCTCTGCACTCCTAGGCTTGCAGATCTGGAGCCATCAGCAGCACTCTGGAATCTTACTGGAAAATCTGCACGGGCCGCTGCTCAAGAGGCTTCAGAGGAACAGGAGATCTTAGTGACCTCAGTTAATTTGGTGAATAGCTTATGGATGTCATAAAATGAGCTGAAGGCTGGAAGATCACATTGAAGTTCCCATCTCTGACATAACTTTTAAATAACCATATGTAAAATAATGACGCATTAGTGAAAAGAAAAAAGAACCCCAACCTGAAATTTCTGGGGCAAACTCTCATTTTTGGGGTGTGACTGGGGAAGATGACGCTCATTTATCTGTATATGTATATACAAAGGGCCAAAATGTGTTTATAGCTCTAAAAGCCGTCATGACAGAGGTTCTGTGTGACCTTCCTCCAGCTCTGATCCCTCTGTGTCCCTGCGGGACAGGGTACTGCGGACCTCCCCAAGCGGTGGCCGGCCTTGAGCTCCCAGCTGGAGCCTGGTGGGAGCGGGCTCGGCCCTTCCCTCGCGGCTTTCCGGCGTGACCTTGGCCGGCTGCTTGGGGAGGGTACTTCGGGCACTCTCTCCAGTGATGGAGGGCCCTGGGGCATCTCGGGCGGTCCCGGGTCCCCGGGGTGTCTCTGCAGAGAGCGGGGGTCCGAGGGCGGCTCCGGGCGGGAGCGGGGCGCCCGGGGACAACCGCCCGCCATCTCCGGGCGGCCCGGCCGCGCCCCCGGCACAGGGGGGCGGTGGCTCTCGGTCCCCTCCCGCCCCGTCCCGTCGCGCCGGAGCCCCCCGGGGGCGGAGCCGTCGGCCCGGCCCGGCCCCTCCCGCCGCCGCAGCGGCCGCGCAGCCCCGGGCAGCGGGCAGGGAGCGGAGCCGGGCTGGGCTGCCGTGAGCGCGGAGCCGCCGCCGCGGCGCGGGGCGGAGCCGGCACCGGGGCATCCTCCCTTCCCTGCCTGCCTCCCTCTCTCCCTGCCGCCCGCCCGGCATCGCCGCGGCGGCAGCGCGGCCGGAGGGTGCTGCCAGCGCCGGGCGGGAGCGGCGGAGCGCCGCCGGGGGTGCGCGGAGATGCTGTCCTACAGCGTGCTGGACGCCAACGTGGTGGACGTGGAGAAGCGGAGGAACCCCTCGAAGCACTACGTGAGTGGCGGCGGGGCCCGGCCGAGCCCCGGCCCCTCGGGGGGCGGCCACACGTGTGCGGGTGGGACGGGACGGGACGGGACCGGAGCGGTGCCCGGAGCGGTGCCCCGGGTGCCGTCCCTCGCCTGGCTTTGGGGGAGACACCCACCCCAGGTGAGGTGGCCGCGGGACCCCAGGGGCAACGGGGACCCGCACGGCCTCCTGCTGTGGAGGTGCGGATCTTCTTCCTCAGCCTCTTTCATCCCGTTTGGTTCTTGGCTCGTTTCAATGTTATGATTTTGAAGTTTCCTTCCCCTCTAGAGGTGGATCTTCCCTTCTTCCTCGCAAGACCCACCGCAGGATGGGGAAGGTCTCCCAGGTCCCCGGGTTGTCCCCATCCTGGCCGGGGTGCTCGGTGTGTAGGGGAGCAGGGCTCGGCTGCTGGTGGGGCCAGGGAGCAGGCGGTACTGAGCGCATCTTCGCTCCTTCTCAAGCACAAATTACATTCAGACCTTTTTGAGGGGGTAGCCGGTCTGCAGGGTTATCAAGGCAGACTTGGCGTTTGGAGCTCTTTCATCTCTCGTTCTCCTTCTTCCTTTCACATCTTACTGCTAATAGCACAGCAGTAAAGGAGAGTTTTTAACAATCTTCCCGTACTTCGGTATTGCAGCGTGTCATGTGGAGGTGTCTTTGCCTGAAAGAGTTTGCAGCACATATAGTCTAGTAGCTTTTGTCCTTCCACGTAAGTAGAGAAGGTATCTTTTCTTCTCTCTCTGGCTGCTTCTGGATTTTAGTTGCACCAAATCCTTTAACTCTTCTTCAAGATACAATATATATTTTTAAACACAGAAAGTGGGATTTTGTGTATAGAGAAGGTAAATCTTCCAGCTTTGGTAAGGAAAAGCCTGAGAGGGTGTTATATCTGCTGTGATATTGCACTGAGTATGCTGTGTTTCCTGGCATTGCTTGTCTGCCAGATTTCTTTAGAGCTGGTCAGCAGCTGAATGGATTGCTTGAAAGATAAGGACAAAGATTAGACTTAAACCTACGTATTAGTATTTCATACCACTGAGCTTTTCCCTCTAAGGCTTAGACCATAACCCAGTTTAAGGCTAGAGGGCACTATGTTGCTGGGAGATGCAGACTTGGAAAGCTGAAGCTCTCATCTACCATAGAGTTAAGCATCTTGTGCCTAATTCATAGGAGGAAGTTCTAGGTCTTATGTCCTCTAAGGTTACAGCTGGACCTGTTGTTCAGTCTATTATGCACTCACCACTTCCAGGTGGGAAAGGCTTCTTCACCTTTTGCAAGCTGCTGCTGTGAATTGTGGCTGCCACAGCTGCAGGCTGTTATCCCACATGAAAGGTGACAGCAGAGAAGTAGGTCTGCCAAGCACCAAAATATAGAAAAGAACTGGTAACAACACTTCCCTGATTACCAAGAGAAATTGACGCTGTTGATTTCTTGTTTGTTGGAAAATAACCAGAAAACAAGGTTTTAAAATTCTGTATTTACAGGATTTGAAAGAAAATATTTCCCATATTTACCTGTAGAAACACATCTTTGTTGATCCCTGTCACTGCATTTTAATAACAGTAACCTAAACTATTCCAAGAAGCTCTCTTTAGTGCTTCTAGTGGCAAATCTATATCTTTCCCTTCCCCCTTCTCACTGTACAGCCTTTCTAATATTCTGTACAACAGTTACACACTTCCATGTGTCCAGTTCTTGGCCAAAAAATCAAACCAAATGGTTTGTTGGGTGACTAGATGTGTGTCTGCCTTTTGTTCTGCTGACTCTCAATCTCTGGTTTTACAGTATTCAGGAAGATAGGGTCTGAGTTTACAAGCAAGTGTTGGAATAATTCAGTTAAAAATAATAGTTTTCCATGTCCTTATGGAGCTTTTTCTTCTACATGAGTAAATTAGCCCACAGGTCCAAAAGTCTTGGACTATTCTTCATTTCCTCAATTGCAGTTTGATGCAGATGCACATGCTGCAGCTTTTCATCTACCTTTGGCTGGAGTAACTGACTTAAGGTGAACCCATACTTTCAAGGAATTTAATTCCCTGGGTCTGATCCACTGATCATGGTTACTTTGGTTCTGTGCTCTTTTTTAATGTGAAACAACTCTTATCTTCTAAAATTAATATGAACATAGCTTGGGATTTAGCTCTCTCCATTGCCTATGGCTAGTTTGGAGAGTACAAAGCTTTGTGCTCTCTGTCCTATGTGGCTCTGAAATATCAAGAAGCCTTTCTACCTCCAACATTCATAAACGACTTCATGCCATACCTTCAGGCCATGTGAATGAGCCTTGGCATCAGATTAATGATGTGTTTCTCTGGTGGATGAGGGGCTGGATACTGCAGGTGTTTTAACGTGACTTTCCTTTTAATTGTGATCTCTCAGGACCATAGGGGGACCTGGAGATATGAAGGCACAGTCTTAACCTTTGTGAGTGTTTGGAGAGGGCTAAATGTGAGTGGCACATAAGCTCCTGTACTGCTTGGCTTAGAAGCAAGGAGTCATTGCCTGGAGCAGGTGTTTTTCATGATATGAGCACAGCTTTTGTGGCCTTGACTCAAGAAAGTAAAAGAAAGAAGGCAGCTTTACTTGTCCTCTGCTATGATCCCATGAATGTGAAACTTCTGAAGATATTAATAACTCACTGGAAGTTTTGTAGGGCTCTGCATGGGGGAAGAGATTAAAATCTTAGATCCAGTGCTATTCGATAGGAGTCCAGCCAGCTCTCTACCCTCTCCTGGGAAATCCCCACTAGGGAATGAGTCCACAATACTTCCCTCTGCATCTCTGTCAGCAACTGGTGGCACAACACCACCTGGTTGGCTGGGGGCCCTGGATGGTGGCCTGTGAAAAGATAAACAGAAGGTTGGGTCAGTAACCACATGCTTCTTGAGTGGTATATCCCCAATACAAGTACCGCTGCTCTTACAGCTTTTGACTTACCAATGTAATTTCCCATTCTTTCTCCATGCTGATGGTGTTTTAAAAATTGATTTGCACTTGCTAATACTTTAAAAATGTTAAATCTCCTTGCTTTCCCCCTTCCCTTTTCTTTTAACAAGAACAATGTCAGGAAGGTCAAGTCTGGGTTTGTTGGAGAGACCCCTGATGCAGCAGGGGTCACACATTGGCTGAGCAGGGCTGTGGTGAAGCTGGGTGGATTAGGACAGTGTGGTTAATGGTTGAAGGTGTCAGTTAATCATTCTGAAGAGAAAAAGCTGGTAGCAAAATCCAAATCCCCTTTCCGGCCCCTGCTAAGCTTTAAACAGTCTGAAAGTCTCTTTTCTCAGTTGATGAGGTTTGATCTGTTTATGGGATAGCTTCTCTGGCTTTTAGTCTGAAATCGTGATTGTCTGAATTAAACATTAAATGGTCCCAAACCAGAAGTGCATTCTGTATTTAAAAGGACCCACTGTTGATGCTTGCCTCCTTTAACCATCCATTGTGGAACTTAAAAAAAGACATCTTTCCCTCCCCTCTCTCAGTTCCCAGGTTATCTTTAGGCAGATAATTTGCCCTTTACCCAAATGTCTGACTCCTTTAGAAGCCCTGCAGGGAGCCTCTGCCTACCAGATGGTCTTGATCTTGCTCTCAGGGAGGGTAGATTGAATTAGCACCTTCACCTGTTCACTGCTTTAGAGACCTGGGTGATGGCAAATATTCATTAGAAGCCAGATGAATAGGATCCCCCACCCCCCCACCACTCTGCTGAGGACTGAGTAGTTACTGATGTGCATTATCTCACCAGACGTTTATATGCTCGAGGTCATTTCTCAGGTCTCTTAAGTGTGCCTGTGTTATCCCGAGGGCAGGGATGGATACATCAGTACAGATTTTCTCTTCCAGCACTACTCTACTCCAGTTGCAGTTGGGCTTTGTGTGTTTTTCAGCTTTGTACAGCATGGAGGAAAGGTAAAACGCTCTTGCTTTACAAGTGGCTGCTCTGTCTCTTTCCAGTTAGACTGAGGTGCATTGCTGATTTTAGTCATCTGAGATGCAGGTATACTGTCCCAGTTCCTCCCCAGGGTAATTGTTTCCTAATGGCATCTCTGAATGTCTTGAGGTCTCTTGTAGGAATCTCTCTGCTGCACGGATATGGTTGCTAACCTTCTCAGGGCACTGGCATTGCTGACTTTTAAGGGATTGAGTTCTGCTGTGTTGAGTTTCAGCACTGCTCCCAGGAGAATGTGAGTGTGCTTGTCACAAATGACCTGTTGTAAAATGTCAGCATGCTCTGAAGAAAAATCTTGTACTGTGAGGGTCAAATTCTGCTCCTTGTCTCTTGGCTGCTCCTGCTTACTGCTTAGACTCAAGAGCAACTCAGATGCGATCAGGCATCTTCGTGGCTTCATTTCTCTGTGTTGCAAGCTGCTTGTTGTACAAAGATCTGGAGAGTCTGGGCATGTCATGGGTTTAGTGGCAAGGATCTTTGTTCCTACCTGGGAGAAGGAATTGCTATACTGGGAAAAGGAGCTTTATTCCCCCTACTTGGGTCGTCAAGTGGGTGTGGCCCTGCTTGCAGGTCTGAGTTGAGGAGCTCCATGTGCCACTTGTGCTAGGAGTACCAGAAGCTTGGGAGTAAGGAAAGCTCAGCCTTTCTTTGTTTGACTATTTTAGCTAGCAGAGCTGGGGTCTGTGAATCAGGTATCTTCCAGAGTGAACAAGATGTGACATACCTAGAGCTCCCATGGTTGGTGGCCTGCAGGTAGAGAGCAGTGAAGAACCTGATATGAATCAGAAGGCAATGTTAGGTGAGTAGATTGAGTACCCATTTAGAAATTGTGATCCATTTTCTGCTCTTCCCTTCCCCCCATCAAGACATCCTGTGTGGCTTTCCTTCCAAGGGCCATGATCCAGCTTGACTCATTGGCCTGAATTATTATGGTTATTATTACTATAATCTTTTCCTGGGGTGATGGGCAAGAGCCAGAAAATTAGCAGGCTGCTCTTCATCATTTCTCAGAACTGAACTTCTGTGCATTGGCAAGGCTTGT